TTGAAGTCTTCAGTGGTTGCCAGGTTTTATCTGAGAACAAATGTAAAATAAAGAATGGTAGGAGTTCAGAGCAAGCAAAAAAACCCCCAAAAATTCCAGGAGAACTTCTCTTGGAGTATCAACACAATATTCCAAGAAGGGTCATTTTGAGAAGAGAAATTGGTAAGGCTAGGTAGATGTCTTTTTAGGGCTTTTGGTCTTTATTGTCAGCTGTCCATAGGGTTCTTTTCTTCCTTTCTTCTCCTCTTACGTGGTAAATGTAAACTTGTAAAGCAGTCATCTGCTGTTCCTTACTGCACTACTGACATGTTTTGTGGTTTTAAGTGCTTAACAGCCCTGAATCTTGGTGCCTTTTGGCCAGTAGTCAGTAAAATACCCTGTTAAGTTAATTGTTGTTCCCGAAAAAGCTCATTCTTTGGAAATTTTGTAGGATTGATACTTATGTTCAAGGAGTTCATAAGGTGGTATGGCTTTTTTTTCTGTTCACCTATGTGCTTTCTCTTGAAATACTGAGTTTAATTAGCATGTTAGGGTATTTCTGCATATGATAATGTTAGTTACATTAGCTCTCTTTCAACTTTGCAAGCTAGAGAGAGACAGGGCATTGATGTTTGAAGGAATGCAGCAAATTCTCTGAATGTTCATTGTGTTAAGGTGCAATTGGAGAGGGACACAGGAAGGGTTTGCATGTCCTGTGCTTGTGTCCCATTTCATCTGAGCAGCATCAGGCAGACTTACTACCTGGCTCCCTGCCACTTCTGCTCTGTATGTCCGGTTTCTTAGACTATAAGTAGTACTGATAGCTTTCACTATGTCTTGATTTTCTAGTTATCTAGTTATCTCCAGTCATAGGAAAAAAATTATGTACTGCAGTGTATTACCGTCTAAACAAGACAGGCCTTAGACACCAAAGCTGATTTTATGATGAGCAACTCCACTGATCCACACTGTGACCACACTTATGTTACCTGATTCCTATAAAATTATTTTAAAACATATTAGTTGTGTAAGGCCTACACAATTATAGACTTGCAGATCACAACTGTGAAACAAAACTGAGCTGTTAGTATTTAGACCTTATTTGCGTCTGTAATTCTCTGTCATACTCGACAGAAGAATGCATGTGTCCTTCAAATGGAGAAATTAAACAGTTTTCATTTTATCCTTACTTTGTTTCTGTTTGGTGCTCATGTATCAATGTTGTATTGACGTTCTCTAAGAAAACTTTCACCTCAAAACAACTCTTTTCCTTTAGGAAGGGTGAAAATCTGATTGCAGGCAGCAATAAGACAGACTGTCTCAGAAGTAACTTCTGCTTGCCTTCTGAAAAGTACAGTTTTGTTCTTGGGAGGTAGAAGCTTCTTTTTGGAGGAACACAATATGATTTCTTTAATCCATGATGAGTGTGCTATTACCTCTTTAGAAATTAAATTGTTTTGTGTACATGGACTAGATTACAGTAATATGAGTCAGAAAAGCAGGAACATTTTGTCAGTACAGAACTTAACACAGGGTCCTATTTCACTGCCTTTCATGAGATGCCTGACAACTTGCAAAATTTGACATTAAATTTTTACAAGCATCTTTGAAAAAAATGAGATGTCCAGACTTTTTGGTACTGTTTTGTCCAGTTTCCTTAAGGGAAGGAAAGTGTTAAATTTTTATTATTGTACCATTTTCCTTGACTCCCTTGCTGTTCACCTCACTAATCCAGAGGCATTTGAACATGGGAGATGTCTGTGTTATTTTGCACTCTGACACAGCCCATCATCTGTCAGGAACTGGAGATTTGTACCTGCGATTTGTACCATTATCGTACTGGTAAAGGTTTGGAAGGGCATTCTCTTCAGTGTGGAATTCAAGGCCTAGAATAGTAAGCTTTTCTAACAAAGAGCTCAGATGAATTAACATATAAATATGTTGATGCTAGTCCACACATGCTTGGATCATATGTTTTGATATATGCACAGAGCATTAACCTATCTGCTGATAATTGATTAATGAAATACAATTTTAAGCCATATTTTGAGACAGAATAGAGCATATATGTTTAGTTTTAAGTGTTATTGTTTATATACAAATTACAAATTTGTCTCTTGAGAATGAATGTTAAGAGTCACACTAGCAACATTTCTGTACTGCTTGTGTTGTCAGACGGATTTCCGAGTGGGGTCACTAGGGTCTTAAAGAAAGCTGTCTGAGTTTGCATTCATGCATAGAAATTTTGAAAGCTTAATATAGTAATTGATTGATATATTACTGATTAAACAGAAAATTTAACGTTCGCTGATAGATTTGTAATTTGTTAAGAATTCTTTTGCTACCTTCTAGTCACTAATTTTAAGAGTGAAAGAGTATATGCTAGTTTATTTGGGTTTCATTTTTATCATTTGTCTTTTCTACATTGCTATATGTAATATCAAAAAAATCCCAACTTTTCACTTTTATCTTTTTTTTTTGTTAATATGTATTTCCCAAAATACTGCCTACTCTAAGCAGGAATTTTATACAGAATTCAAAAGTGAGATGTTACAAACTCTGTGGTAACAGGACCACTGTGATTTCTTTTTGGTGGTGGAAAATCTGTTAAGCAAGCAAAAATATAAATATGTTGTAGTTAAGTAAAGTTTTCTGAAGGACAGCAAAATGTTATCAAAATTAACAGAATGATAACTTGGTCTGGTTTTTTTAAATTTCTTGTAAATCAGAATAGATTATTGTATCAGTTTCAGTAACCAAAACTTGATCTGTTCACTGTGGAGCAAAAAAAATACATTTTCTGTAATGAATGCATCTTTAAAATGCATGCAACCTATTTCAGATTTAAAATCATACGTGAAATTGTCTAATAGTGCTATTATTATTAACATAATAACAAGAATCAGTAACTGCTCAGCTAAAAATCCAATTTGAATGCCTAGAATAATAAGGGGAGAAATATGATAAGTAGTTGTCAATATTAAAACCGGCTGAAGGAGGAAGGCTTCAGGCCTTGTAGTAGGTAGAATGAAACAGCAGATTTCAGTATCCACAATCCTTTCAGTATTAAATTTTCAGTAAAATAAAATTACTTGTATATGAAAACATAGCCTTTCTCCAGCTCTCTTTTTTTTCCTGATCAGCTGATGAAGAGACTAGCAGCTCGCTGCTTTGCTGGCTTGTTAATTTTATCCCCACTAACTGTGATTTCCGATAGCCGGCCTGCTGATAGTGGTAAGGTAAATATCCTTTTTCATTGCCGTCTTGAAGATTCAGTAGAACTACATCACAGGCATGTGTAGGTGTGTAACACATCAAAAGTCGGTGTTCTCCGTGTTTCAATGTACAACTGAGTGCTTGAGGAGAGCAATGACATTAACTGTTGACAGCCTTGCATGCTGTATTTATTATTAGCTTTTCTAGCTTCCAAGATACGCAGAGAATTTCCTTTTCTTAATCTTCATTAGCCTCAGTGGTTTATAGCGCGTGTCCTGCTTTAGCCAGATGAATATTAATGAATTTGTGTGCAGATTTTTTTTCCCTTCTTTTTTCTTCCTAACTCATCAGATCTCGAGCCTCCTTCATAGTGAATATCTGAATGCTGTGGAAGCATGATGTAAATTGTCTTTTGATTATTAAGGCCTAGTTTCAGGCTGTCTCTCAGGATTTTGCTTTTGTGTTTGTGGATTTGCACATCGGAGGATGCATAGGGAACAGATTTCAAAATCCCACTGTTCTTTTAAACATGACAGGTTATTTTGTATTGTGCATCAGATTTTGTTCACAAAACGTTTTTGAAGAGACATTGTACACAATTGAGAAAAATTATGTCTATGCTGTAATCACTTTTTTATATTGATTGTTATGCTCACATGATCATAAATATTAGCCATGTTTGGTGCTGTGGAGAAATGAAGGTAATTGCCTTAGGATTAAAGCTCTTTCAGCTACGACAAAGGATTGATTAGCATTTGCATGTACTCAAGGCAATATTGAGAAGCAAAAGCAACAAATATCAACATCAGTTATGTTCTGAGAAAGCATTAATCAGAAAGCCTCAGTTTTAAGATGTTTTATTTTATTTTTTATTTTAAATTTCAGTTCTCTTATGAGTGTTTTTATTTCTTTTCTTTTGTTGGCTTTCTCAAATCACGAAAAGTTCAGCTTCTTGCTTTATGACGTGGATCTGATAGTGTGTGTGAACAGGTTCCCTTTATTCCTAGTTTGTTTTTCGCAGCAATTTTTTTATCTCTCTGCGTAGAGCTGCTGGGTCTGGTTAAAAGCATACATCCAGGTAATTGAAACAATTGAAATTAGTGTTAATTGTCTGTGACTGTGTTTATTGTTTGGTTTTTGGGATGGATTTTTTGCATCCCATGTTATGAGTCTTGTTTACAGCAAACCACTATACTGTCAGTGCTTCTGCCTACTTTATGGTTACTATTCTAGAAGAAAATTATACATTTTGAGATTATTTTAACACTTAGGTGATTTAAAAGTTGCTTAAAAGGCTTGGAAGAAGAGTTGTTACTGCATAAAGTATCTCTGTTCTGTGTGTATGCACAAAGAACTGTGTATGAACTGGATTTGGGAGCTGAGCACATTTTATACTGTCCTGTGTGAAAACATATGGTATCAAAGTCTGTTATGCATGGAACCGTGTAAGCCAGAACTAACACTGATGTGAAAAAATTAATGTTTTCTGTACACTTACTGAGACAATACTCTAGGCCATTATGTGTGAAACTGTGATTTGGTGCAGAATTCAAGGTTCAGGTAAACAACGTATTTAGATGATAGTGAGATCCTTAGGACAAGTTAATGTTTAGTGTGTCATTGATTGCTGGTAAGTTGGTTTCTTGTACTCTCATTTATAAATAAACTGAACATTTTGAGTTGAATTATCTGCTCCCATGGAATTGCAGTGGGTTTTCATTGTTGTTTTAACATATAGTTTGCTATTTCCCTTTGCAATATCTCTTTTGTTTAAAAATCATACTTTTTGAATCCATGGTTGTCAGGCAATTGAAGACGGCAATTTGGAAGAAATGGAAGAGGAAGTCCGGCTTAAAAAGCGAAAGAGAAGAAGAAACGTGGATAAGGATTCCGGGAAGGAGGATGGAGAGAAAGCAAAGAAAAGAAGAGGCAGACCTCCTGCAGAGAAGCTGTCGCCCAATCCACCCAAACTGACAAAACAAATGAACGCTATCATTGATACTGTGATAAACTACAAGGATAGGTGAGCTTGGAGACAGTCTATCTTTATTGCATGTGCTCTCTCCCTCCCTGCTGATACCACTCTACATTTTATAACAGCTTCTTTTTCAGTCTATAGAAAGACATGTTGACACTGCTCTTCTGAAGAGTAATTCCTCTTAGGGCCTGATCCTGAAAGTCTCATGCTTTGTAGAGTTTTCTTTAAACACTCGTCTGATAGAAAATTGTTGAAACACCATTTTAAAAAGAAAGAAAAATGTAAGTGTAGAGCTCCTGCTTAGGATTGAAGTCATTCTGCTCAAGATGTGTACTTAAGAACATTCACCTTGAGCAGGACTTTCCTCCAATTTTGTGAGTGTGTGTTGAAGTTAATCTTTCCAAAGACATGGCTGCAGGTTTATTAATTCAAGTTTACATGGGTCTCACAATGAAAGACTGAAAGACTGCCCAAAATGTGTGGTGCTCATGTCATGAGCATCAGAGCTGCCAAAAGAAAAAATACAGAAGTACTGAAACATCAGAAATGGAAGCCTGTTTGTCAAGAAATTTCCATTTTCAGCATAAAAATATGCTAAATAGTTGGACTTAATGAAGAAACTATTCCTTCTAATCTGAAATGGCGTCTGAAGACTTCGGTTTTGCAGATTTTCAAACTGTAAATCAGCTATGCTTCGTGAGCAAGAAATTGAGAATTAGTTCATATTGTCTTTGAATCAGACTTGTTTGCAAAAGTTGTGTTTAAAGTTAGTTTGTATCTTCCAAAAATCAGTAAAGCCTTCTTGTGTGCTTATCCCTTCTTTGTGGTACATTGAATTACTTAAATCATATAGCACCGATTATAAGCTAAGTTAATATTAAATGCATTCAGAGAAAGTCAGAAAGTATTTGCATTAGATGACCTGCACCTAGGCGTAGCAATGTATTTTCTTGCCTGTAAACAACTTTTAGACGTTGACTTTAAATGTCAGTTTGCACTCTGCCCTTTTTTAGAGCTACTATTCTGGCTCTGCCTGTACAAGGCTAGTTTGGGTGGTACTTGGTAAAGCACACACTGCTGTGGTCCATTCTGTGGGCTCTTTCTAGAGTACATAAAAAAGTATTTTATTGAATTGCAACAGAATTCATAGCAACAAACACAAAGAGCAAAAAGCTGACTACAATCTCAGTGTATTTAGCTTGCCATAACTCTTTAACTAGGAGAATACCTGAGAAGGGAGTAGTGTTTGAGTATTCCAGTCAGGACTGCAATTTTAGATCCTTGGCCTTGAACCTTCTCTTGAAGCCAAGCACTTCTGATCAGGATTTCTACTTCCCACTTTTAAAATAGCAAGTAAAGTTGCTTCCACTAGCCTTCAGTAGGGGATAGCTACTGATAGTAACTGATAGCTTCTGGGGAGGTTAAAGATTTTTACCTGATGTTTGTGCCCTAGGAAGTTCCTATCTGATTTCTGTCAAAAAAAGTTAACAACTGAGCTATTGTGTAGTGACAAGGCATACTGCTTCCTCTCACTGGAGCTCACAGTTATGCAAGACAGAATTGCTTCCCAGTTTAAAAGTTAAATTTTTATGGAGCTCTATTCTATAAGGAATTAAAAATACCTCTTAAACTGAGCTCTTTAGTGCTGTAAGTTATAAGGAAGGGTGCCAAGTTTCTGCATTCTGATTTTTTTGTGAACTAGCGTCAAACTACCCAATACTTTGAAAGAATAGAATTACAAATCTAGGCAGCAGGGAACCTTAATATCTTAAAATATTTGGGGCTACTTTGCTCTAGATCTCAAATAATATTTTCAGGATTTGCAGCTTTAGAATTAAGTGGGTTTTAGGCATTGGAACCCTTCAGTTTTGTTGGGGGTTCAACGTTTGTTCAGCTCTGGGCTTTTGTGAGCGTGAAGGCAATTGGGGCAAGTATAGAGGGACAGGTTAATTGGAAGAAAAGTAGGCCATGAGTTTCATCTGGGGAAAAAAATGGGTTTTCATGTATTTAGTATTTGAATGCTTGAAATCATCTTTGTCTTTAGCTTAAATTTTCCGTGCTAAAAGATGTTCATCTTTTCTTTATGCTAAGTCCAGAGGGCTCATCTGGACTGTGGAAAACTGATTGTGTCCCAAAAGGTGGTCAGGTGATACCCATCCAAAAATCTTACTGACTTAGGCCTGACTTACTTTGTCAAAGCCAATTCTACAATCTTTAGTAAGTTTTGTGCAGTTTAAAGGGCAGCATGAAAAAAAGTAAAAAATAATACATTACTAAGCTAATTAGTCTCTGCATGCTTTATCTCATGTTTTCCCTTGCTTTTGAGAAGAGTTTCTTGTAAACACAGATCCACTTTTCTTATTAAAGTCTTTAAAAAAAGGTAAAATCCCTGGTGCTCACAAAAATCTGAAATGCTAGTTGGCTGCTTTTCTGTGATGACAGTGTATAATCTTGATGCAGGGAAGGATTCTCCAAGTGCTTTCCTTACTGTATAGAGCTTGACTTTAGTTGAAAGCATCTGGGGATAAATACCACCCTTTCCTCCCTTATTTAAAAAAATCCAATAAAATTGGTTGTCTGTGTCAAGGAAAGCTGAAGATTTCAGTATTACAAACAGTAAGGTCTAGTAAATAGTAATTGCACAGTCAAACTTAAATGTGACAATTAAAACTAGTTTAAACAGACATATTAGCAATATTTTAGGTAAATTTTCAGTGTGGATAATTGCAGTATATGATTCTCAAAAAAGAAAATGCAGAGGTAGTTATCCCACTACTTGTAAACCTCAGATAAAGAAGTCCATGCAAGAAAGTGGAAGTCAGCATTGAGGTTAATTTCCTCTTCACATGTCCTCAGTGCAATTTCAACCTTTTAATTAGGATTTTCCTCTTTTATGCAGTACAGTTAAGCAGTCCTCCAATTTCCTTTTATTCCCATCATGAATCCCAGTGCATTGTTGATTTTAATGAAACCTTACATTGACAATAAGTTTAATAGTTCTTAGAGAGCAATTTACAAGTAAAAGCTGATTTTCTTTGGATATTTCTAGAGAGCTGGAGACAGATTGAAGGAGAAAAAACTGCAGTGAGATTTGACTTGACTGGCAGCCAGCATTAGTTTCCTTGAAATTACGGTATCTAGTGTGTGTCCCATATAATAAAGGAAATAGGTAAAAAAAAGAAAAAAAGGGCAAAGATGGAAGACACTGAGAATGTTCAGCTTGGACTGTTTGAATGCCTTTGGTGTGGTGTGAGAGTTGTTGAGGTCTTTGACAAGTTGACCATGCTTGATTCATGCAGTCTCTTTTGCATTACATTCCAGTATTGAGTGATTGTGTGCTTGAAGATTTTCTTCATACTGATAGGCATTTCTTTATCTTACCTTCATTATTTATCTTTGTTAAACTGGAAACAGATAAGTGATGCCTCAGTCTGAAGAATTGTGTACATGCTCCAAATCATTAAGTAAAAATTACTATTGAAGTTACTGCTATCTTTTTTAACTGCACATCTCATTACTCAGCTCTCAGTACCAAACCATAAAACATGTAGTGGTACTACAGATGCAGATTCTGTTTTACTCTTCTACACTGCTTTGCCATTATAGGCGAAGCTGAATTAGTGTAGGTTTAATCTGTACTTATTTAAAACGGAGAACAAATCTGTAATGAAGCAAAAGTAGGAGAGAAAAGATGGTCAGAATCCTGACTTCTAGTCATCTGACCCAGTGAAAGATGTCTCTGCCCACCTACAGCAGAAGTTGCAGTAGTTTATCGTCAAAGGTCTTTCCTGACCATTCTACAATTCTATGATTTTGCTGAATCATTTTTTTAGGGATACCACAGGAACATTATAAGCTAATATGAAAGAAAGAGGAGATAAAATGAGTAAGCTCATTAATCTGAGTGAAAAGCAGTAAAAATACCTAGCTGAAGGCACTGTTAAAAAGTTACTGAGCGGGAAAGAAATTCTTGGAGAATTGGTGTTGGCATAGATCACAATATATTTATAGTATGTATTTAAAATTAGGAATGTCCTGGCCAAAATTAAAACATCAGTAATGGTGTGTTAATCACAGCAGACTGGACACAGTTAGGTCTGGAGTAAAATAAATGTCATGAAGTACAGTATCTCAGAGTGCATTATATGGTACTCATAGATGAAAAATAAGAAACTTTTCTTCTGATTCACATGTCAGTTCAAGTGGAACTGGCAGAAGAAGAATTACCTGGACAGAGAAATTATCGATCAAAGCCAACTATGTATTGTCCAGACATAAGAAAAGAGGAGCCTTACCATTACACTGTTGCCTATGTGTGGATGCGGAAATAATCATTATGGGTGTGTGTCATTATATATGATACTGTTAAAACTTGAATTGCTGTATGTAGTACCTGAATGCTTTTCCATTCAAGAAAGATTAGTTTACAATGAGACGAGTGTAAATAATTATTTCAGTGATAAATAGCATGGGAGAGCCTTACAAGAGGAAACAGGTTGGTTTGTTTATCCGGTCTGGAAAGGGGAAGATGATTGCTCTCAGGAAATTCACCTGGGAAAGAAGGGAAGCATAAACACAGGAAATGAAGAAATATTTAAAAATACAAGATGGTGGTCACAAGGTTATATGACTAGAAGCTTTTATTAATTCATACAAGTTATTAATTAAGAGTTCTATAATCTTTCCATATGGAATAGTGGGACAGAAATAACTAGATAGATTTGGCCTTTGTTTCCTTGATTTTAAAAGTTCTATATGATTATTTACGATACCAAGACCCTGGATTCAGGAGCCAGGAAACATGTACACGCGTCATCTTTGCAGACTCCATTTGCAATACACTTTAATCTGCGATTTTGTTGCAATTACTTCTTACACCCTTGTACCTTGTTCTAACCTTTCACACTAAAACACCTGTTTAGAAGAGAGCAAGTTGCAGAGCATCAGTCCAACATTATTGTCACACATTTTTCCAGTTCACACACTTTTTGTCTTTCTTTCGCTATAAAATTAGGAATGCCCATAGAAGTTAATGTCTTCTAATC